CGGGAGACGGCCACCTATGCCGCAAACCATCCAAAACATCCACAGCCACTTCTTGGCACGGCAGACCTGATCCGAAACAAATATCCATCATGTCCAAGACAAGAAATGCGGAGAAAAGTCCTCTTGGGGAGGGGAGGGGCATTATTGTAAACTACCAGGTACCTACCTAGTACACATACATCCTAACAATCATTTTCATCAAATCATTCATTTCATCTCTATTTACCTAGGTATGAATATGGTAGACACTTTACATGACCTCTCTAGATACGGTAATACCATACAGAGCTACATCTCAAAACGATCGAGATGCGAACCTATAAAAATACCATGCATGTATTTGGTCTACCTTCCCAAGAAAGTCGTTACAAATGATCATTAGGCTTCTTTTATTCATGACTTTATCCATCCATATCACCCGGTCCCTTTGCTCTCCCCATTTGACGTGCCTTGAGCAATTCATCACAGAGCAAAAGATTGGATGCAATACCAGAACTCGATGCAACACAATTCCTCAGTACACGGAAAGAATCATATACACCCTCCAAGACTGGATCCATAGGTTCACCAGTTTTGAGGTCAAGACCGACAATGTTGCCTTCTGCTTGCTCATCTTGTAAGCTAGCAACTGTGATACATATTAGCGAGATGAATAAGCTTTAGGAGGAAAAAGAACTTACGCGAATCTTGAATATCATGACCAGCATTTGCTGCCAAAGTTTTAGGAATAACCAGAAGAGCATCAGCGAAAGCTTGAACTCCCCACTTCGCCTTACCCTTGACAGTCTTGCGGAAAGCTTCGCTGTTCAAATGTGCTGCGCAAGCAACCTGGAAAGCACCAGCTCCTGGTACAACGCTCTTGTCTACAATCATGTTGTAAACACTTCGAAGACCATCGCGGACGGCATCGGTGATTTGAGTAATGGTATGTTGATTTGGTCCCTTGATGAGAAGGGTCACAGATTTTGGCTCCTTTACATCCTCGATGAAAGTGTACTTCTCCTCTCCCAATTGATGCTCATAAACATTTCCAGCCCATCCAAGAATTTCAGGGGTCAAATCATCCACACTGTTCTGTGCTGTACCGCCACAAATTAATTGTAATCTTTCCATGTTTCTTCGCTTAGCTCTTCTCAGAGCAAAGATTCCGTTCTTAACCAAGACATCGAGTGATAAAGGATCAATACCCTTTTGGTTGATAATAACGAAGCCTTTCTTGGGATCGTTCCCGCAAACCTCCTTCTTCAACTCGACAATTTTTCTTAATTTCTCGTCAACGAAACGACGCTCGCTCTCCACGAGTTTATCTCTTTGTTCCGCGCTCGAATAGTAGAAACCGGAGTTGATTTCGGACTTCTCGTACTCCAAACTGACGTTCAAGCTGAGAATAAATGCGTTCTCGACCTTCTTTGGCATATCTGGATGTCTAGCACCGTGATCTAACGCAAGACCTCGAATCAACTGAGTCTCTGAGGCGGTTCTGTGTTGCATCTTCATAATTTCGACCATGTGGAGATCAGGCTTTGCTGGGGCTTGGTAAATCGATAGGACCGCATCGACGATATCAGGAGTGAGCTTTTCCGCCAGAGTGTGGTTAAGTTTTGTAGATAAGGAGGTTCGCGCAACGCAGAGTAAAAGTTCACGGTCGACTTCCTTCTCAATTTTGAAGGTGTCCAAAAACTGCAAAATGTCAGTATTACCCCGCCAATGTTTGATATCCTACCGACCTTCAACGCTTCTGTTTTTGCAATCTCGTAACCATCTGTGATAATTCTGGGATGTAAGCCTTCGGAAATATATCTATCTGCCTGTTTCAAAAGCTCTCCTACGAGAAGAACAACTGAAGTTGTGCCATCACCACAAATATCATCTTGTGCGGTTGCTGCTCGTGCAATCATAACTGCCGTAGGGTTTTGTATTTGCATTTCACGTAATAGAACGTTTCCATCCTTTGTAAGTTTTATCTGCGGATCGATTGTTAGAGAATTGTTTTCGTTGTTGCATCACGAAGACTTTCATACCGCTCCAGCACCGTCAACCAACCTATGGGAATGTTAGCATATTCTAGCCTTATGGGATGACGAAAACTAACATTTTAATGGTTCCCATAGGACCCAAGTTTGACTTTAAAACATCTTGTAAACCTTCACCTGCACTGATATTGACTTTTAAAGCTTCCCCTCTTCTCTGCTACGAATCAGTAGCTGCATCTCAAATTTAGATAGGAAAATTCATACTCTGGACTCCGCCTTTGGGTTCAATAGTTGTGCGGCAGACATTCTGACAGAATACAATAACTTCGTATGTAATTAAAATGAAGTTATATGGCGTTATCGTGGCGAGAAGCTGTGTATTTTGTCCCTCAACGTCGCGAGCTTTTTTTTCTATGGGCGACGTGAATTCCCACACGAGGTTCACGCTAGTCTCAATTTGGAACTAAGGCGAGGCTACCACTTTAAGCTACAAGGCATTGTTTATGTTGTTTATGCTGACCACGGATCTGTTAATAGATAATTCCATCAATTATTTGTTCATTATTTGTTCAATATCTTCAAAATGTATCGAGGCTGGAATCTCGTATTGGCAATTATTGTTACTCTTCTCTCTGGAGAAAGTCTTGGGTTTTTGTCATGGCCATTTAAATTTCAAGCTGTTGCTGTACAAGAGCCTATCATAGAATCAACAACATACGAGTATGCTGATAGTCATGCAAAACGAATTGCAATTATTGGTATGTATCGATGCTTTTTTTCATACCATCATTATCAGCGTTGCCGTGTGATCTCTCATAATGACCTTCCCTTGAATGGGTACAACTTTTGTTATAATTCCTATCTTTCAAAGGGGACCCAAAATAGGGGTATTGCCCCCATCCCTTAGCTGGCTACTATCTATCTGTTCCCTTCGTTTCTCTTGCATATTACCTCAAAGTTCATGGGAATCCGCATACCCATTAGATACTCTGATGATATATACTTCCATTTAGCATCAGAATACAAACAATATTCCAATCGCCTTCCACTGACAGGATATCAGGTGCTGGAGCAGGCGGGTCTTCCTCGGCATACCATTTACAGAAGTATGCTGCTGAAACCGACCTTGCAATCAATGTCACTGTTTTTGAACGATCCTCTTATATCGGAGGTCGTTCGACCACAGTGAACGCATATGGTAACTCATTGGAGCCCGTGGAATTGGGGGCCAGTATCTTCGTTGACGTCAACGCAATTTTAAAGAATGCAAGCCGAGAATTTGACTTGCATGCAAAATCATCTAATACCGAAGAAGCTGAAATTCTTGGTATCTGGGATGGCGCAGAATTTGTCTTTACTCAGAAAGATAGCGATTGGAAGTATTGGGATATTGCAAAGATGTTTTGGAAATATGGATTTGCCCCCTTGAAGACTCAACGCTTGATGAAAAATGTGGTTGGAAAGTTCGTACAACTTTATGAAGCACCATACTTTCCATTCAGATCTCTCACGGAAAGAATAGAGGAACTGGACCTCAAGACTGTGGCATCCGTAACGGGCGAACAATTCTTGGCTCAAAACAATGTGAGTCTAACTGCATGTGTTGTCATAATGAAACTAACAATACTTAGATTGAAGGCTCATTCGCAACTGATCTGATTCAAGCATCCACTCGGGTCAACTATGGTCAAAACCTAAACGTTATTCATGGCGTAGAGGCCATGGTCTGTATGGCAATCGAAGGTGCCATGCAGATTCAAGGCGGCAATTGGCAAATCTTTGACAACATGATTCAATCATCAAATGCCACTGTTCGTCTAAACCACACCATTACTGAGATTTCCCAAGTTCGAGATCAAGAAAAGTACAATGTCAAAACCATTACCACAGATGATATCGGTGTTTCTCATGTTAATGAAGAACCATTCGACACCATCATTATCGCCGCTCCACTTCAATACACCGATATCAAAATGTCATCTGATCTCCTTCAACATACCCCCGACGAGATCCCCTACGTTACCCTTCACGTAACTCTCTTTACCTCTCCCTATGGTTTCAACCCAGCCTACTTTAACCTCGGCCCCAATGAGCAGGTCCCAACCACAATCCTCACCACTCTCCCCAAAAACGTCCCCGCCCCAACTGATCCCAAAGACTTCGCCGGTCCCGTTGGCTTTTTCTCCATCTCGACTCTCCGCAAAGTTATCAATCCTACCACCCTCGAATACGAAAACCTATACAAGATCTTCTCTCCTCGCCCCTTGACTTCCGAGTTCCTTTCTTCAATCCTCAATAGCGAAGTCCCTGTCCCTGAAGACCTCACCACCATTTCTCCTACAGCAAATAACACAATAACATGGTTCTACCCCCACGTCTGGAACTCCTATCCATACGAGTACCCTCGCGTGACATTCGAAGAGATTCAACTCGCACCTGGTATTTACTACACTAGCGGTATCGAATCCTTCATCAGCACTATGGAAACGAGTGCATTGATGGGAAAGAATGTAGCAAGATTAGTGGTTGATGATTTCTTGAAAAGTACAGAAACCGACTCAAAGCCAGTGGCCGAGGAAATTGAAATAGGTAATGTAGTTGTCGAGCCCGAGATTGGTGTTGGCAACGATATGCCTGTAGTTGACGAACTCTAATCGTTTGTTATTCCTGGGTTCCATAGAGATTGGCGTTTGCTCTTTTCCATTCAACCTTGTCTTTTCTATTGGAGGATACTCAGTTTCGTATTACTTCAGACCAAAGATAGCTAAGGAGAACGGGACTTCATTGAAATCCGATACTATACTACTCATATAACATTACAATAAGATATAAATTTCAATATACTATCACTACATGCCTTCAAGATAGCAGCTTGACTAAAGAATCTAAACATCCCTTGAACTCTGGCCATTCACGCTCAAGTCCCCCAGCACAACGAGCAATTTTTCCCTTCGTCCAAAACGTGCCGTCTAAAGTGATCGAGAAACTTCGGTGCACAACTTTTCAATCCATCCCACGTCTCAAGCCTCATTCATTATAGTACATATCATAGTCATCTTGTCCCCTTTTAGCCTTACGCCTTTTCGGAGTCGGTCGATTCAAAGCCCACGGCGTACTCCTCTCCACCTCTATTCCTCCCGATCCAGACGAAGGTCCCTTACGCCGAACCATCACTTTCCCCGCAGTACCGACTCTATATTCCTTTCCATAATACTGCGGAGAGTTAGGACCCGCTACTCGTTGTCTCTTTGCATCGTGGAAAGGCGCTACACGAAGGTGTTTAGCTGGCGGGGCTATACGGCGTTTGATTTTTCGGGCTGGAGCTTTTCGAACTCGTGCTTTGCGGCCGATTCTGACAGGAGCGGGGGTCTTGATCCAGGGACGAGCTTCTTCTTCCTCGGGTGTGCGCATTCTTTTTACGCCCCGCTCGATGTTCAGGGCCCGTTGGAATCTTGGTTCTAGTCTTCCCTTTCCTTTCCCATCGTTGTAGGCGCGTGGACCTCCTACCTTTGGAATGTATTCTGGATCTTCTAGATCATCTTCTGGGTCGACTGCATCAACTTCCGGATCATCTGCATCATCTTCCGCGTCATCCTCTAGGTCATCAAAGGCTGGCCCTACAGAATCTCGCACCGGCCTTCCATCTAGTCCGACTGCTCTCCAATCAGGGAACATCGGGTTGCGTATCGGTCTTCCCAGTTTGAACGGCATTTCTCTATACCCCATTTGAAGCGCCTTGCGAGTCGGAAATAAAAGTTCATAATCATCGTAATCGTATTCATCTTCGGCCGATCTCCACCACCTTGGATTACTGTAGTCTGGTTTGCGTGGCTGCTTCTCCTTTTGCAACTTGAGTACCTTCATACCTTGATCCTTTTTCGACCCCCGAGTAGCGTCCGGATATATTTCATCCCACCCATATTCGCCGCCATAAATGCCATCCAAGAACAAGTCATGGATTTCGCCAAAATTCCAAAAATCCACAGATTCTTGTACCTGTACGAGTAAATCCCGTACATCCGGACGGTCTGTGGGATAAAATGATAAAGACTTCAAAATCAACCCCCTCAATCGCCTACTATAAACTTCTAGTTCGGGATGCAAGAGCCATGGCCCCATGGTTAGGAATATCTCAGAAGGCTCGGGATCGACTCCTGTCTCGAAGAATTCATTGTCGGGCACGGCATTGTTATTTACTAGGCATTGGTAAATAACATTTGCAACATTCCACACGTCGGTTGAGGTGCCTATTACGCGGTTTGGATTGCTGACCAAAAATTGTTCCTGTTAATAAGTTAGTTTGAGTGACACGACAGGTGAGCCAGATCGAAACGGAGCTTGAAATGCAAGGAATACTAATAAATAAGGTTAATACAGGTGCGTAGTAGGTGTTGCGTCCTTGAGCTATCTTGAGCCATGCTCGCCGTTTGGAAGCACTCCTTCTCAATGCTTCGGCGTCAGGAACTTCAAGTGCGAGCCCGAAATCGGCAAGCTATGGTTGATCTCGGGTTAGCACTATTTGAGTTTGAATTCTCGACATTGAAATCGTGAGACTTCGTACATATCTTTACGCACCTTGTGAACTGATATACGTTCATGGCCTGGTCGAGGATTATCGCCGATTCTACATGGAGAAACATTTAGCATTCATTCCTCTGATAGAGGTTCTGTGTATCTGGAATGCACTCTATTTACACACGTGTTTCTTGACTCCAATATGGAAAAGAATATGTGTGCAAAAACTTTTACTCACAAGACTGTACAATGTTAGCACCGTTGCTGGCAAGCAAGCTCTGCTTCTAGGAGCAACTTACTATTTGGCCCCTTGATATCAAAATGCGCAATTGGTTTATGCTGGAGATCCTCTGGCGGTCCCTCAAACATTGTATCATGTGGATTCTCTGTCCCATATTTCAAAACCATCAGTGCCTTCAACAAACATTCCCATATTCTAAAAATGTATTCCTCTGGAGGGCGCTGATCATTGCAGTTTTCGAACATCCAACTTCCTAGGTCCCCTACAGATGCAAATTCTAGATAAATTCTTGATACATCATATTTTCGCCTGAGTTGTACCTTAATATTGGCGTCGATCTCCTTTTCAGTGTGCAGCCACCTAGCATAACCCATAATAGCCCGGTCCATAGCGTCGTTTGTCCCCTATTCACGACTGTATTAGTAGAGTTTAACATCAGGGCATCTTCTGCTGCAAACAGCATCTTCTGAGCTGGATCATAAAGGGAAGCAATAGCTTACCATGCCCATAGTGCGATGATAAGCCTTATATATCTTGATGATATGGTCACTGTCGTACTTCATAAGACTTTGTACCATCCTACTCTCCTGTTTCAAATTCAAACCCGGGCCTCCTTCCTGTTTAACCACTAGTTGCCGCGGCGATACTTTTAGATCATTTCCTCGATATTCAAACAGAGTTGCTATGCCATAAGAACCACCACCCAGACGCTTGACGCCAACCCAGTCTTCACCGATGTGTACTGGCGCCCAGCCTTCGCTCTGTTTGAGATACCTCTCGGCCTCTTCCATGGCTGGATCGATATTCATCTTGACGCTTGATTATATGGAATGGTCTTTGAAAGATCGATATATGTAATTACACATGAAGTTGTAAACTTTTGAAAACTGGATTCTATTGCCCTTGGTATATATTGAACTTTTGGTTCACGCGATTCTGTTGAGCGTACCTTGGAATTGCAAGGCTTTGTTCAGTGTGTCTTTTCCAGCAACACAAAGATAGCATCCATGCCAATCGATGCGTTGGGGTAGTTTCGCATCGTTATAACAAAGAAGATTGTGCACTTCAACCAAATCTATTGATGGGAATTTGCTGCTTTGTGAGAGAGAAGCAATGGTGGAAGAAATATCAAGCGGGTAGGAAAGGGCTACGAACGGAAGCATGCCCGGTATATTCCTACTTCGCGATTATGCAGATTACTCTCCCTAAGTCTACATATCCCCTCCAAGAGATTTACCTCGAAAGTCTTGGAGAATTATATAATATGGAATGAGAAACATGTTGAACAGCATCTTTTATAAGGGAGATAGTTTGAGATTTATATAATGAGTATTTACTACTCTATGCTCTCCATCTAAGAGTATTTGTTATATATATATGAGATACCATCTTGATTTCTGCCCCTTGACCAGTTACCAAGTACCCCAACCCATTCACCATCGACTCTTCTCCAGTATAATGCCAGCAAAATATGAACAAAGAAAATAAGTAAACTCCACTTTCTAGCCACCGAGCAGCAGATGCTCAATTTAACAAATATAAAAGGGTGATAGCTAGATATCCCCTCTACTGTAATCACAATCATAAAATCCGTAGACAAGAAAAAGGTTATCGCTGAAAAGCATCGCGCCAGTGTGCATTCACCAATGCATCCACTTGAAGAATTGAATCACTCCTTCACCAGTAGCAATTACAAATTATGATCTCACGCTTCCATCCCAATTCAACTCCCTTACACTAACCTTCGTCCCTTCCCTATCGCTATGTTTCCCCCTTACACTTCCTCGTCTCCAATCCATTAGACTCGATCTCTTTGATCTTGTCGACGCCATTGTCTTTCCCGTTGTATCTTTTGAAAGTTTGCTTTCCTTCGATGATGATGAATTGCTTCCCCTATCGCCGTCGCCTGCTGTGCAATTTGCAGAATATGTGTTGTTTGCAGAGTAGTATTCGCCATCTACATATACTGCATCGGAAACAAATGTGCTGCGACGATTTCGACTATTGATATATCGCTTTTCAAGTCTGTAGAGCTCCAACTTTTGGTTGATCATGTCGATAAGCTTAACCATGGTTGCGTTTGTGTGGGGTGTGGAGAGTGGAGTGGTTGAGTGAGATTGATATCGCGGGAATATTGACCGTCAGCCAAAATGAAGGAGAAGAGAAGCGAGAGACTGAGTAGATTGGTTGCTCTAGAGAATGTGAAGATTGATATCGGAAAGGGTTGATAAATCGATTTTCGAAAGAGTCTTCTGAACCCGTCAGAGGTGCTTCGTCCGTATTATCTGCGAAATGAATACAGGAATGGCTATTCTTGTTCGTCAAGATCAAATATCAAACAATCGCGAGATTTCGTTTGTATTAGGTGAGTAGATGAACGATGAAGTACAATATTTACAACAGTCGATGAAATCCAAAATTTGGAGATGTTTTTATGCTTGTATATACTTCGAATGTGTGTCGAGTCAAAAATTCTCAAGAATGAATAGATGAACAGACCTTTACTTCACCGAGTTGTTGAGGCAAGACAGAAAGAAAAGAAGACCTTCTGGTCCTTGGCGATAAGCCATCTAGAAAGCTCTAGTCTCTACAAGTAAGTGTGCCCCGTAGCTCTTCATCCACAGATTTTCTGACTTGCTTCTGCTTGCATTTCTGCACAGTTATTGTTTTCCCTGAGAATCCCTCGAATTTGGACACTGCTCCATCCCAATTATTCGAAAATCCACAAGAAATGGGTGAAATACAAGGATTCTACATGAATCATCATTTTATCCATGACAGTCTAAGGCAAATAGAGCTGCAAAGATCCGGTGAAAAGTGGACGCTTCTTATGGAGAGTGGCTCGAAAACTGGCATAGTCTGACCAATTCAAATGGAAAGTAATGGATTTTCGTCTAGTATCCAATAACATTAGACCATGATCGGAGGGTTAGACTGAAATAGTACAAGCTCAAAGGCACAATCAACCGTTGGCACGTTTTCTACATCGAAAGTGGCCAGGGTAGTACAACTTTCTAAGCAGCCCCGGATGTTTCCCTAGAAGAATTTAAGAGCATGGAAGACGCCATCTGGACCCATCACTACATGATCAAAGCGTGGTCAAATCAAATTTCCTTTCGGGAAAAGGTCTAACTAAGTGGTAAAAGGCTCCTCTCAGTCTCGTCTTCATTCCCCAGCCGACTTTGTGACTCGACAGGCCTTTTTTCTGGATTTAGAACCTGTCTTCCCGAGTAAATCTAAAGTGGGTGCTTGTCTAGATCAATTTTGTGCCGCGCCGAACACAATCATTATGTTTATTCAATTCCATAAATCGTTCATTTGAAACAATGAAACAGACGTAACCAATACACGATAATGCGTTCGCTTTGAAAGTTGATGGATGCTTGGTGGTCTGTACTGTACAGTGTTGAGGGGTAAATGTTATCCAGTGTTACGGGGGTTCGAAGCACACAAGAAAGTCTAGTCCCACTTGTATGCAGCCTCGATTGGTGGGACTTGAATGTGAAAGGGGGTTTACCCTGCAGCATGTGTGCATCTAGTCCACTCAAGATAATAATTTCTTATCGATCAAATCTATCTGCTCTCTTCTTTCGAGACGTCGGGAACATTAACTTCTCGTTCTTTACCGATCTCCGTTTCGGCAAAAAGAGTTTCTTGTACTAAAATAATGGTGAGACAGAGCACAAAGCAATAAGAATGGAATAAGCTGCTTACCACTCCAGAGATCGGAATATACCCCACCAGTATCAACCAATTCTCTATGCGTCCCACTCTCAGCCACCGACCCCTCCTTCAGTACTATGATTTTATCGCTATCAAAGATTGTTCGGAGCCTATGAGCAACGAAAACGCTAGTCCTTGATTTCTCTTTCAAAATGCTGTTGATATTTTGCATCAGTGCCTGTTCTGTATGTGTATCCAATGCAGATGTCGCCTCGTCAAAGAATAACAGTGGAGGATCTTTCAAGATAAGTCTTGATACAGCCAATCTTTGCTTTTCTCCTCCAGAAATCATCATTCCCCGTTCACCAACCATGGTCTTGTATCCGTTGGGGAGCGTTGTGATAATGCTATGAATCTTTGCACGTTGTGCTGCTTCTTTGACTTTTTCGTCAGATGCCTCCAAGTTACCATATCTGATGTTGTGTTCAATTGAATCATTGAAAAGTGGTGTGTCTTGAGGAACGACGCCAATGGCTCTCCTCAGTGACTCCAAACTCACATTTCGTATGTCTTGGCCATCAATCAAGATTCGTCCCTCTTGAACATCATAGAAACGGAATAAGAGTCGCAGGACTGTTGATTTTCCACAGCCACTGGGTCCAACAATAGCAATTTTTTTGCCAGCAGGGATGGTCATGGTGAGATTCTTCAGGATTGGACGGTCTGGATGGTAACCAAAGGTTACATTCTCAAATGTGATCTCACCACCTTTAGTTAGCTGCAGGGGCTTTGCATTCGGAGCTTCCCTGACAGCCACATTGACCTTTTGCAGATTGAAAAGCGTTTCCATGTCCAATAAGGATTGTCGAAGTTCTCGGTATACGGATCCAAGGAAATTCAAGGGAACCGAGAGTTGAAAGACCAATTGGTTGACCATTACAAGATCACCCACTGTCAAGTTTCCTGTAGCTACACCATCTGCAGCTAAGTACATCATGGCAGTTAATGCACTTGAGAAGATCAAATTTTGTCCACTATTGAGGAACGCTAAAGATGTTGCGACCTTGATGGATGATTTCTCGTAAGCTTTGAGTGCCTGGTCATATCTACCAACTTCGTATTTCTCGTTATTGAAGTACTTGACTGCCTCGTAGTTGATCAAAGAGTCTACAGCAACTGTCGAGCCTTTATTATCGGCAGCATTGGCGGCTCTGCGGAACTTTGTTCTCCAAGCAGTAGTCGAGATGGTAAATGCTGTATACCCTACCATGGTGAGAGCTGTGATAGCCGCGAATTTGGCACCATATTGATAGGTCAAGATACCGCAAACCATGGATATCTCTAACACTGTCGGGAAAATGTGGAAAACCATAGATGTGAGCAAGAAGCTAATACCCTTTGTACCCCGATCGATAGCTCTAGTCAACCCACCAGTCTGCTTCGTGAGATGGAAATTGAGATCGAGTCTTAACAGATGATCAAAAACATTGCAAGCTACCCTCCTAATAGCCTTTTGGGCAACGCTAGCAAAGACAGCATTCCGAACTTCTTGAAACAAAGTAGCTCCAATTCTGGTAAGTCCATAAGCCAATATCATCGACCCGGCGACGGTTGTAGCTGTGCCTCCAAGAGTAGCAAAATCAACATTCATAGCATCGACAATGCTTTTGAAGTAGAAAGGTACTTGCACATTCAACACTTTAGCTCCAACTAGCAACCCGAGGGATAAACCAACCCGAACTCTTGTTCCCATGTTGTCTTTGGGCCACAAATATTGTGACATCTCTTTTATAATCGCCCAGTCCGCCTTCCTTTGCTCCTTATTTGTTTTGTCATCTAGGGCCAATGGATCTTTTCTTGCCGTTGTCGGTATGGCAAGAGGGGCTTTTTTCGCAGTCTCGGGCGTCGTCCCAGGTATGTCGTCCGCTGATTTCGCATTTCTTAAAGATTGGCTCTGGATAGCACTGCCTCTGGGAATGTCTTTTAACGGTCGATTGGTGCTTGTGAATACCCTGAGGCCTGCCCCGGACTGTGCCCATCGTGGATGTCGTAATGAAGCTTTTGCATATATGCAAGAAGCTCCATAGAAGCTATGTAAGCTTCGGAAGCTCATCGTAAACCAAATCTATTCTCACTGCCCATAGAT